GGGCTGGCGCAGTCTTCSTGTGTGAAGCGCCAGACCCCTTCACACCATGGAATGATGATGATGATGTATGTTTGGGGCTGCATTGCAATATTGATTGTTCGGATCATTGGTATCTAAGTCTTCCGCTGTGCTATCTTATACTTTGTATTGAAAGGTCGGTTCTTGTTCTGGTCTGCACCTATACGGTATGCAACATTACCAGTCCTGTCCGGTCTATAGGGGTTGCCACTTACTGTGGGCAACGGCTGCTGCTCAATTCAAAATTTCCTGCAGCTCAAACACTGATTGGCCTCTTGTGCCATTCTTGATAAGTGTTATGATCCTGGCCAATTTCAAAGCACACATTCATCAGATAGTACAATGTCGTCCAATTGCAAAAAGAAATCAATGAACTTGAGAGGAGAGAGAGGGTAAGAAGAAGAAGATGATGATGTACACCAGCATAGACAAATGATAAAGCTCTTCTTCTTCGCCAAACACTCTCCTCCTCCTTATCTCCTCCTCCTTATCTCCTCCTCTCTTATTCACACAAGAAATAATAAATTGCTGAACCAGAATCAATGTCTGATTCCCTCTTCTACTGCAGGTATCACTTGAGGTCCACCATAGCCATGGCCGCCTGTCTCACTCTTCACTGTCATAGGCAGAGGCTATGGCCAACTACTAGGGCCTTGCCCTGATGTCCAAAGGACAACCCAAAGCAGCTATGGCTGCTCTAGCTCAGGCCGCCATGCCTGACTCTGCCTCGAAGTTTCTTGGTGCAACTCTTCCCCAACTGGGGTCTTCCTGCTGCAGCGCCCACCAAGGTGACAAAGATGATGGCTGCCACCATAGCCAGCTAAGTACCTTTGGTGCTCCCCCTTCCTCCTGGTCTTCTCCTTCCTCCGTGTCCTTGCTCCTCCCCCAGCAGCGCTGCTCCAGCCAGCACTCCAACCAGTGTGTTGCACACCGACAATGAGGCTGGGCTCTTCGCTTGGCCCGGAGATATAGCGGCCTGCTTGCCTCTTGGGTGGTGACTTCCTGGGCACTTGGCCTTCCAAGCAACCTGTGCCTTTTCCCTTTGAGAGGGAAACATCATTGCAGACTCTGATATTGCCCGTACAGGCCCTGCACTCAGACTAGATGGACTGGTACCCGCCTAGATTTAGCCTACAACTACTGGGTCTCTAAAAATGCCACTTTTGTCTTCTTCTGCTCGGCCTCCAGTACCCGCCACATCAACCTCTTCAGGGTGTGGTATCGGCCTACCTGCTACTTGAGTGTTTCCCCGCTGCTTCAAGTGTTGCGGGCCTCTTCCCATGCCAGTTGAGTGTTTTCCCCACTGCAATCCACAATGTCACGACCATTGGTAAGTACCGGCCCTGAGGGCCCAACGAATGAACAAGTGCCCTTGCGGGTCACACACACACACTCAAGTCATAAACACTCAGACAGACATGCAAACCAGCAAGCGTGCATACACATAGACTTGGAGAATTTTGTGGCCTGTGGGAAACTCAGCAAGGCGTTCAATCCATGCGCAAAACTCATAAATCAGTTGTGTGTTTCAGTCCGTGTGTGGTCGGGTCATCACATTAGTCTGCGCCAGCGGTGCGTATTGACAACACTTGAAAGTCTGTATTTCCTCAGTCCTGTTCTTTACCCCTCCACGTCCCTCCTCGTCCCCTTCTCCCTCTCCGGCCCTCGCCTCGTATAGAAGTCCTCCTTCCACCTCTTCCCTTACTCCCTCCTCTTGTGCGCTACTAGTAGATGATGCATAAGAATAAGCTTCAAGTTGTGAGGAAAAATGAACAGGAATGTACCTCCCCCTTTGCCTTTTTTCATAGTGTGCAAGTGGGTTGTTATGTCACACGGGTATGTGGGCAGCTCGTGCGCAACCGCAATCAATGTGGCGAGCCTTGCACATGAGAGGCATAGTCAAAGGGGAGCTGCAAGAACAAATGAAAGGGGTACGCCAAAGAAAGCCGACGTAAAGATAGTGTAATGAAACCAGTGTGGAAGATACTCGTCAGATGTCAAAATACAAGAAATCTCAATTCTGAATAATATCTCCAAGTAATCGGGAATGTTATATGTGATACAATATCTGGTAACCAATAGACAAAGAGAGGAGAGGGGGGATAGACAGATTAGAGGGTGGAAGAGAGATCCATCAATGACCACAAAGAGAGCAGCCTAACCATACCCTCTCCTTCTCCGAGCTTCCCCCTCACCTCCATGTCAGGAAACAATGTCCAATATCGCACTTGACAGGGTCTGATCACATCAAGAGTGCCATGTGGCACCGTTCTCCCATGAAGACGTTCAGCAGCGCACACGATCGACATCAGCTGCAGGTAAGTCCTGTTCTCTCTTACTCATCCACAGATCCCGATCTCCCACCTGGTCGTTTCCAACTCAACAATGAAAACAGTGTGGCATAAGTCACGTCAGGATAGGAAACAGCGTGGCATGCGCCACATCAGCAATGTCGAAGTCAGCGTTGCCTTGCGCCACGTCAGCAGAGCCTGGCATCGAAGCAAGAAGGCGCCAACATAAGGCAGCAGTCTCGTGTCGTTGTCCACAATGCCAGCGTATAGCCAGTGTCTAGCCTGCGTCAAGCCAGCCAGCGTCAAGCCAGCAAGCTAGCATCAAGCCAGCGTCAAGGTCTTATGTAGCATTTGACCGGGTAGACTGGTCGTAGGTCTCCCACCCACGGTGGCTCAGATTGACTCGCAGCCAACGACCTGGATCCCATACAGTTGCAGACTTCCACTTGGCCCGAATGTTGTGTTGGTACCTGCATACAAACAAGTGGGTATGTCTGACCGACGGCCTGGGCCGAGTCCATGGTGACTTTAATTGAGGGTAGTTGACTTTTAGTCAACTGTCTGGCGCAGGGCCCCTGAATCGAAACATTTGGGGTCCTGCCTCTACGTGCTGCTGCCTAGGCCATTGTCAGGCCTGGGTCCTTAGACCGGTTATGAGGCATAACGAACGGGTTATTGAATTTCTGCCGGCCCAATTTTCGAGTTCCATCGCAAAAATACATTAGCTTTCTCTTGACCCGCGTTCATATGCAGCAACAATATCAAGAGCAGTAGGTAGTAGTTCTTTCTTACTAAACCATCTAGCTTCAGATGGAGGTTGAGACTTGAACTTCAGCTTGTACTGCTTTTGAGGTCTTCCTCTGCCACCTGTAGAGAAGTAGCCATGTTCCAGAATCTTTTCAACTTCGTACCCTCCATTCATGAAGGATGGGAACATGGATGGTCTATTATGAAACTCATCTCCCTCTACATATGGCAAAAGTTTAGACGCGTGAAAGACATGATAGGTCTTAAGGTGTGGGGCTACATCAATTAGATACGAAGGTCCATCTGCATCCCCAATCACCTTGAGAACTTTCAAGGGTCCATAATTGACAGGGATCAGTTTTTGAGACACATTCTCTTCCAAGGAAAACTGTTTGGACTTCATTCATACAAGATCACCTTCTTGAAACTGCGATGGCCGATAATGCTTGTTGGCCTGCTCAATCTTCTGCAATTGGGCTTTCCGTATATTTTCCTTGACTTTTCTGATGTCTTCTTCATATAAAACTGCAAATTCACGAGTTCATGGGGATAGCCTTTGGATCTAATCCAGTGTTAGCATCAATAGGAGTCTAGGCTTCCAACCTTTGTGTAGTGCATTTGGCGTCCTGCTCGTAACAATATGTATACTATTATTATATGCGCTAGCAATCTTAGGTAAGTTCTCATCCCAATCTATCTGATCGGGTCGTACATACATGCGGAAAAGTTGTTGGCACAGACAATTCATCTGTTCAGTTTGGCCCTTCGTTTCAGGGTGTCTACCTGACAGCATGGTCAACCTAGTGCTATAGACTTCCATCAACTTTTGCCATTGTAGACCGGTAAACCAAACATCCCTAGCAAAGACGATGATTTTTATAAATCCATATTCGGAAACCCATTGCATATGGGACTTCTGGATGACCAGTTTTGTTCTCGATTCGACAGGCAAGGGGATGAACATTGCATACTTTGAGAATCTATCGACAATAACCATTACCTGACTATTGCCATTTCGTCTCTTCGTGAGGCTCATAAAGTCAATTGAGATTGACTCGCCTTGCTCACTAGGAATTGGTAGAGGTCTCAGTAGTCGCAAAGGATTCTCATGAGAAGGTTTATTCCTCTGGCAAACAAGACAAGTCCGCACATAGGTTAGGACATCTTTTTTCATCCCTTTCAATTCAGAGCGTTCTCTCACATCAGCATACGCCGTCTTAAAATTGAAGTGTCCTTCAGTATCATGACATTCCCAAATAATTAGACTTTTAATTGTGTCTTTTTGAGGAATACACAGTTTTTCTTTGGGCTTATCGATAAAGAATAATAAACCATCAGTCATTCGAAAATAGTTCAAAGTTTCTGTGTAGGGTCCTAATAATAGGACTCTATATGGAATTGTCTCCATAACCCTTACGAATTTGCTCTTTCAGTTAATTCTCAATATCGAGATAGAGGACAATAGTTTCAAAAAAATCAGCACGCCTGGACAAAGCACCCACAACCACATTGGACTTTCCTTTGATTGTCTTTTGTTCGAAGTGAAATGTGTTAATGAAAGCGGACCATCTCACAAACTTGTCAGAGAGTCTAGGTTAGATCTTAATCCACTTCAGGGTAGAGTGATCTGAATACACAGTGAAGTGTCTCCCTAGCAAGTAGTGTTTTCATGTGTCCAGTGCAACAATCAAGGCATACAATTCCCTTTTGCAAGTTGAGTTGGCCACTGTTTTAAACGGAAGTCTTTTGGACATAAACTCGATAGGTCTACCGTCGTTTTGTTGTACCGCAGCCCCAATTCCCTATTAACTTACATCAGTCCTGAGAATGAAAAGGAGAGAAGGATCAACAATTTTTACCCCGCCATCATAAATCAGGGGGAACCGGTAGCATAGGTCCACGAGGGTTACCGGTAGCACAGTGGGGGGAACTGGCAGAGTGGGAAAATTAAAAAATGTGTCGAATTACCCCCGTGATTTATTTTGGCAGTTCAAATGATTTTTAAAATTTTTAAAAATATTTTTCATGTAAAGATCATGACGAAATCTATGAACCCTCGAAGTTTCAAAGTTATTGGGTCATTATTCTAATCGCAAAAAATCGTGAAAGTTAGGTTACTTCTCCCGTTGGCCCATACATGGTAGAGTAGGAAAAATGGAAATTGTGATGAAACGACGCGACATTTACTTCACAGTTTTTTTTTTTTTTTTTTGATATATTTCCTAGGAAAATCACGGCCTAATCTACAGGATATCAAAATTTCAGATTGTTTTGCCAATTTTTGTGAGCGCGCGCTTGAAAATTATTGGATCGGACCCGCCTGCCGGTCGCCCCCTCCCCCTACGAACCCGGTCCGTAAGGACAGGAAAGTCCATTTTAGGCCGGCGGGGGTAGTGGTGGTTTAAGACAGGGTAGTGAGTCGGTACATGTTTTTACTTCTTGAACGAGGACTCACAATTTTTGTCCCATAACCAAGGTTTTATTTTCTTTAGTAGTCTTTTCATAAGAACAATTATCAATTGGAAGTTCCTCGCAAACTTCCTATAATAACTAGCAAGTCCTAGAAAAGATCTGAGTTCCGTGATAGTCTTAGGTTGTGGTCAATCCCGAATTATTGTTATCTTCTCTTCTCTTCGGGCCTTAGTCCTTCGTTTAGTATATGCCCTAAGTATAACACTTCACGCTTAGCAAACTCAAACTTCTTAGGATTTAGTTTGAAGTTGCCTTCACATAACTTTTGTAGAACCATTCGTAGGCGTTTCTCGTGATCCTCCAATGTCTTACTATACACGAGGATGTCGTCGAGATAAACAACTACGAACTGATCCAGCCATTAACAAAAAAATTCGTTCATAAGGTAGCAAAAGCATTACTCAATCCGAAAGGAATAACCATGAACTCGTAGTGACCATATCTGGTTCAGAAGGTTGTCTTGTGTTGATCCTCAGGAGCCACCTTGATCTGGTGGTACCCTTACTTGAGATCAATCTTACTAAAGTACTTGCATCCCTGCAATTGGTCCAACAAGTCGTCAATGCGTAAAAGTGGTTCCGCATTTTTTATGGTGACGTTATTCAACCCCCGATAATCAGTACATTGTCTAAATCCACCTACCTTTTTAGGTATGAATAAGACAGGAGTACCATAAGGAGACGAGTTGGGGCGAATCCATCCTTTTTTATTTAGTTCTTGTAGTTGTTTCTCGAGTTCCTCAAGTTCTCTAGGAAACATGTGATAGATGGGACCCTTGGGAATCTTACTACCGGGAAAAATCTCAGTTGTGTGCTTAATAGCACGCTTAGTGATTCCCGTTTGCTCAGTTTGCGAGTCCTTATATTCGTGAAGTAGTTTTTTAATAGAAGGAGGATAGGATGAGGAGTATTCACCTACTCGTTTGACGAGCACCATCATCATATCCTGATCCAACTTATTTTTCAAGACCATTGATCTAAAGGTTGGGTAACTCGTACAACAGAAAGACAATGACGAGTCAGAGTTAAACTTGTGATACAATTTAATCACTTTAGGTTCATACTTTTCGTCCTTGGGTTTGACAATCTTCTCTTTGAATTTGACTTCTTGGTTGGCTTCCTAGTGCGAATCCATTCCTAGAATGATATCAAAGGGTAAGTTTTTCTCAATTAGGGAGGATATTTCATGCAAAATCTTCTTTCCTTTCTTTATTCGAAAAAATAGCACTTCACACAATTGACAGACTAAGAGACAGTGATCATGCTCTTGTCAGCCAACATAGACGTGATAGGTCTTGGCAAATCATCTACCTTCATTCCCAAATGCAACTTACGAATTGCCTTCTCTGAGATGTAGGACCGCGTCGATCCTGGGTCTAACAAGGCACCCCCGTGCGTACGTGCAATCTCGATGTCTGCGATCATAAACTCACCCTTAGACTTCGCTTTCTTAGCCCACAAACTTCTTAAAGCTATGAGTTCATTTTCGAGTTCGTCAAGGGAATCGTCCAGCGAGACGGAACATACAACAGTGTCAGGGTGTTCTGGACGACAGGCCGAAGAAGAGTCATCCTCTGCCATTTGAGTCGAGGGTTTGAAAGGGGTGATCGGCGCCTTACCTTCAACTAAACCCCTCAACTCAGTAGAAGCAGATGCTACTCCTAGTGGCTCCTCCCTTTTGGGTTTCGAGTTAGGGGGCACCATGTTATGATGTGCCCTGCAGTGCCACATTTAAGGCACTACCTGTTATCCGTTCGTTGTTGTGATTTGGGTTTCGAGTTAGCGGGCACCATGTTATGATGTGTCGTGCAGTGCCCATTTAAGGCACTACTTGTTATCCATTCGTTGTTGTCACTCTTCCCGTGACTCACCCATCTTTTCCCAAGGTTTCCCAACCTCAATCTCGGGGTGCTCAGGACAGGAGCGTGGTCTTCTCTTCCTACTCCAAGAACTGGTACCTCCCTTGTTGGTCACCATAACAGTGACGTCACCCTTTTCCTGACTCATTGTTGCCACCTCCTCCATCGGCCTCATCAAGGGGTAGCTTCTCCAGTGTGTCGTCGTCAAAGACAACGAGCATATGGTCCTATTGCTTTTGCCGCAACACGACACACTTCCCGTACCTGCCAACTTGATCATTCTTCACTATAGATGCGTACGTTCCCCTTACGTGAGTAGTCATTTGCTCCCTCTAGAGCGCGAGGTCACGAAGCTGTCGATAATTGTACTTACCGGATGGATCATTCTTGACTATAGATGTGTACGTTCCCCTTACGTGAGTAGTAATTTGCTCCCTCTAGAGCGCGAGGCCACGAAGCAGTCGATAATTGTACTTACCGGATTTCCCCTCGGCGACTAGATGCCCTCAAATGGTTTTGGCAATGCTCGCGAGAAGATATAAAGGACTTGATTGTCTTGCAGGTTTAGACCAAGTACATGCAACAACCGATCAACTTTACGAGACAATGCATCCACTGTCATCCAACGCTTTTGGTTGATGGTGGTGAGCTCGTCAAAGGCCTTTTCGGCCGTCGTTTTGTCTAGGAATCTCTCCTTAATCATTTGGATAAATTCCCGGAGGGGTTTTGGCCCACTCACCTATGTCCTCGAAGCCAACAACATTGGCTTCAGACAAGACCCATTTCTTTGCTACCTCACCTAGACATGAGGTAGTGAAAGGTTGAAAACCACTTGGCTTTGTGGCTCTACCGGTGTAGTGCTGCAATATGTCTAGATTTCTGCAATCTAGAGTGACAGATGCTCACCTCGCTTTCCATTATGGGTAAAGGGTAATTTCATCTTCACTTTCTCTTTTCTCTTCGACTTTTCTACCTCCTTGGCCGGTTCCTTCTTAGCAGGCTCTTCTTTCTGTTCTGCTGGTTTCTTAGGTTCCTTCTTGGAAGTTTCAGGTTTTTCCGGCGTCACTTTCATAACCTTCAGTGCATCTTTCATGAGCTTCTCCTCGAGTTCTTTCTTCTCGTCCCCCTTGGCCTCCTCCTCAATCACCACCTTGTCTTTCTCCTTAACGAGTTTAGTCATTGTCTCAATCGCAACATTGTTACTGTCAATCTTTAGTTCGAGATGTGCGAGGTAAGCCATGAAATTATCCAAAACAGATGCAAGGTCAGACTCTGTTCCCTCAAAGTGAAACCGCTGTTTGATTTCACCCGTTTTCTCTTGCTGTTCTTTCTCTATCTTCACTCTCTGGTATTCTTCTATCTTTCTTTTCTCTCCATTCAAGGTTTCTTCCGATTGCTTGATGTTTGCCATCATAATCTCTTCAGAAAATTTTGCTTCTTCCCTCTTTGCTTTATTCTTTTCTCCTTCTTCTTTGGGCACATTACCAGCAATCTTAGCCAGCATCTTGGCAACACATTGATCGAGGGCCATTTGGCCCGGATCAATAGTTTGTTGCACTCTACTGCTTACCTCCAACTTATGCACAGTCGTGTCAGCCTCCTTCAGTTCGGTCTCTGCAGCACACAGATCAAACTGGCTGCGTACGTGCTGTTTAGCCATTGGACCAGCGTCATGCAACTTAGTTCGTAGCTGGTTAAGACAGGCCAGCATTTGCTGCTGTCTATTCTCAATTTGGCCACGTGTCCTCGTTTCATCACCTTCCTCATCAGCGAAGAAGGTGATAGAGACAGGCAAGAGAAACAAAGGGATAAACGAGTCAAGACAACGAGGCGCAAAGAATTCCAGAGGTAAGACATTTCACAATGTGTGTTCGCCGCACAATAAATAATTACAGGACAATAATAATTTTGAGGGCCACATCTGATTTTAATCTACGACAACAAGAATACATAATAAAAAATAAGGAACACATTTCAATTTATTTGTACTTCTAACTTTTGCGGTCTGTCCTATGTGTGATGACGTCTTAATGAGAGTGCACACGTACCGCAACCACGACCAATGTAATCAATACACAACAACACAAGTGAGTATGCACGACAACCGCAAAACAACCAAGACAAGTGAGTAAGTCTGCCAACAGAACAACAACAATCAATTGTCAGCATCCTCTCCTCTTTGGTTGTGCCATCTGCAGAAACCAATGCGACCAGACACAAGGGCAGGCGCGTGGCACTACGACCAATCATGAAGCTCTACCGCTCGCCACCACACACGTGCCAGTATCAACTTCCCACCAGCGGCAAGGCATGCCTGCTGCCATGTGTCACCATGGCATGCCAACGCAGCACCTCTACCGGGTTGCCACTTCAGCGTTCAATGGCCAGTAGGCCGTCAAGAAGGGTGCCACGTCAGCAACGCGCCGACTGCTGGATCATCCACCACTTGTATGCCACGTCAGATTCAAGTACCGTTGGAGTGTGGAGCGCCACATCAGCAGGTAAGTTGCGACACAGATACGTGTCACGTCAGATAATACCCTGCTAATCCTAGGATGCTACGTTGTCGAGCGCATCGCTCCAGCACCGCACAAAACGGGGCGGGACCCTCCCGACCGTGTCAAGCAGGAGTTGGTTTATTCCTCATCGCGATATATACATGGAGCTTCCGCAAGCCGCTCCAGCCGAGTGCGCCAACCATACCTCTCGCGAGCCCCTACGACAGGATAGGGCCTACGCGAGGCACGACTTACCTCCACCTTACGGCGAGTTGTCACCGCCCTTTGGTGGGCGTATCCCCGCCGAGCTACCAGTCCACAGTACGAAAGCTAATCAGCTGCAATCGCAAAGGTGGACCAGCCGAGGGCGTTTCTCATTCGTTGTAGCATAGGGGGTACGCGCGGTTTCACGCCTCTATCGGACCCGCACGCGAGCCGACACCTTGGGGACCTGAGGTCCCAAGCACGACCCGTCGTCGGTTGACTAGGACGCTTCCCGCACACCACGTGCACACCACTCTAAAGACATAAAAATTATAAGACACACACACATACTGACACAAACAAACAACACACACACTCCTAGTCCCTTCAGTAGCCATCCCATAACTTTCCAATGCGAAAATCAGATAGGCGACGCGCACGAGACTTAGTATAAAACCACGCGGACACAGGGCCTTCCCATATCGACTAGCAGTGTATGAATATGCTAGCAGTTGCAATGGTGGCGTACTATGTAGTGCCCGTAATCAAGCGGTCCCTCGTGGGTTCGAGTACCGCTTATGACACCCAAGTGTCAAACTCGAAGTATCGTGAAGGTCTACCCCTTCACAATATTGCACGATTGAAGAAACAGTCGTGCGGCCTCCGCGGCAACTCCGGCCTCTAGGCAGAGTGTCCCGGTGGGCAGGGCTAATAGGTTTTGCGCGGGGGGTGATCCCTTTCATGCAGAGTCTAGTACCTGGGATGTCCTTGACAAGGACCTCGAATCCAGGCCCAAGAAATCTTTTTAAGAAGCATACAACAAATAAAGGGGAATAAGTATGTGACGATCACTTCTCACAATCAAAGTGGGACTCCTCACAACCATATATATGTATATGATCGCAAGCAATCAAATCCAAAGTCCGAACCACAGAACATACCTGCAATCACATCAAAGAGTCAACCAAAAGTCCACGCACTACACGGAGTCAACTTCAACCAGTCTCTATACTCATACCCCTCGCTTTAACCATGCAAGCCCCAACCTTTGTCCAACCTTCCATAATTAAATACTCAGTACCTTTGTTAAATGACAATTCAATATAATTCCAGGTGAAAACGTTAATAAAATAGCATACTTGCAAGCATACGGACCAGACGAGCGTCCGGTCCGGTCCGCTTGTCCGCGTACGGCACCCTCCCCCCGAACCAGACGGACCCGGACCGGACCGGAGCGGACCACACGGACCCGGACCGGACGGGACGGGGTGCGGTCTGGGACTCTTCCGTCCGGTACGGTTTGGTCCGGGATTGGAGCGGTGCCTTCCCCAGATAGTCTGGGTTGGTAGGGACCTTTTTTTTTTTCTTTTTTTTTTTTAAGGTTCTGCAGGGTACGGGACATTGTTGGGGGGTAGTGCACACCTCTGCAGGGTAGGGGACTGTAGCAAATGCATTGGCGGGGAAGGCAATGTGGCAGGGTACTCACCTGTTAAGTTGTTATCCCTTGTTATCTGATGCAAACACAGAAACACTGCATAGCCAGCAAAACAGAACACTGCAAATGGGCAAATGACAGAAAATCACATACGCACACTGCAACATGAGAAGAATGGACAAAATGCTAACTTAAAGACTTACTTAAGTTACTTAACTGATAATGAGAAGATGAATTACAACTTCTAGAAGTTGTAGTTCACAGTTCTTACTTCGTTCCAAGTGCAACCAAACAGCGAAAGATAAACCGCGAAACCGCAAACTTTGCAGTCACCGGCATCAACTCCGCCTAAATTTCCTAATCCTCTGCACCTCCCCGTGCAGAAGTTTCACCCTCTTCCTCTTCCTCTTCCTCCTCGCCTTCCTCTTCCTCCTCGCCTTCCTCTTCCTCCTCCTCGTGCTCAGTCCCCTCCTCTACACTCCGCGGTTCTCCGTCGTTGGCATCATGACCTTCATCATTCCCTTCCTCTGATGAAGCGAAAGACGATGAACATGCTTCTGTGCCGTCATCGTTGATGATGTCGTCCCTCTTTCTTGCTTTTGCTGCTGCTTTTTTCTTTCCCTTGGATTTTTTTTTTCTCGATGCTTCCAACGCTGTCTTTTTCTTATTGGCTCGCATTGTTGCTTTTCTTGTTGCGGCCTCTTTGTTGGTCGGCCGTCCTCTCTTCCGTTTCTCCGGAGGTTCAATGACCTCCTCCGCAGCACGTTTACCGTGACGGCGACCCTCATCACCGCGCCGCACTTTACGTTGCCGGCTGCTTCCGCCTTCCTTTCGACCCTCCACCCAATCACCCGTCTCTCGAGCCCGCAGCGCAAACTCCCGGTCCTCCTTGTTATACTGCACTTCAGGTGTTGGGCGCTCATGGCCCGACAACCTCTGCAAGGCACGCTCCAGCTGCCTCCCCGGTCGATTGTTGAAGTGCCAGTCGTTCGTGTACTTATCTATGTGCGCAAGGCCCTCCTCCTGGTCCATTGCATTGTCCACCTCGTCATTGCGCAACCACCTCCTTGCCATAGGCACTTCCTCGCCATCGTCGTCGTCCTCCAACTCGCCTTCCTCGTCCGACGTGTCATTCTCGCCACTCGGCATGCTGTTCTTCACCCGTTTCACCCAATCATTATAGAACTGCTCTGCCTCCTCCTTCAACTCGGCGTCCGGCATTTCCTCCACCCACGGAATGTGGACATCATCCACACCACGACCGCGCTCTTGCCTCYACTGCARGYGGAGGTTCCAATTGTTGTAGACGAGCTTTGATAGGCGGGTGGGCAAAATCCTCGTCCTCCTTCTGCCAAAGATGAGCTCATGCAGACTCCAGTTGCGTTCGCATGCCGCGGATGAGCTTGCCTGGCCCAACAGTCTGATCGCTTGGGGCTGCAAAAGATGCAGCCGCGATGCAAACACATCCCACCACATCGTCGGGGTCTTGGTGTGTGCTGCGCGCAAAGCTTCCTCTGATTGCAAGGCCCCCTTCAAGTGCACCCACTCGTCAACCTGCCAGCTCACATCATCGAACATCTCGTCTGCGCACCAGGTATACAACCATATGTTGAACCCGGCTCGGATCTCAGTGTCTTTGAAGGAGCCCTGCGATCTGTACTCCGGGTCCAAGAAGGCTGCTGCACAATGCAGCTCTGAAGTCATGAACGCCCATCGATCCATGAGGATCGACTCGACCTCTGCCTTCTCGAAGTCTGCCAAGATGTCCAGCTTGCGAATCGACTCCACCACACCATCCATTCGATGATAAACCTTGGCGATTGTTGCGCGCGGACCATCAACGAGCTTCAGTAGCTTGACGATGGGCTCCGTGGTCCTCAAGGCCTTGTCCACCCGCTCCCAAAAGCCGCCATCCAAGATAGTCGCCGACACCTCCTCGAATTGAGAACGCAGGTGGGGCGGCACCAGGGAGGAGACCCATCCGCTGGCAGCCACAGTCAATTTCAGGGCATTTGCCCTGTCCCACAGCGACTGCAACATGATGATGTTGGTCGCGAATCGAGTGACGCCTGGCCTCTTAATCTCGGCACCACCCGATTTGGTCAGGAAGAGTGCTCGAACCTTGTCGTGGTTCATCACGAACTTCCCCAACACATTCCCCCTCTTCACTGTCTTCGCAAACCACGGAATGCGCTTGTCCATGTCCTCCAACGCGAGGTCAAGGGCATGCGCAATGCAACCCACCCGGAATATCCACGGGTATTTTTTCTCCACCAACTTCCCGGCCTTCAGACAAACCCGGGCATTATCCATGATCACCCCGACCACGCTTCTTGGGCCGATCTCCTCAATCGGAGTGGAGAGTATTCTGTAGTATGCACAGGCGTCTTTGTCCTTTCCCGCTACGCACACCGACTTCCAAAAGACAGTGTCGATGGGAGAGGACACCATGACGTTTATGTGTGGTCTTCCCCGCCGGTCAGACCACCCATCTACTTGCACCATACAGCCGGTGCGATCCCACTTCTTCGCCAATCTCCCAACGTCCTCGATCGCCCTCTGGTGCTGTCCATTTAATCGGCCATTGCGCGCCGCCTCTCTCGAGTGCAGTCTCCATGACGGGTGGGCCTCTCGTATGGCGTCCACCATGTCGTTGAAGAACTCGTTCTCAACCATGTTGAATGGTTGGTTCGTGCACGTCATCCAGCAGTCTACCCTTCTTGACGTCTGCTCATCCTTTGTGACGACGCTGTCGGTCTCCTCCAACAACATCTGTCGCATCCGTGCAGCAGGTGCAGCAAATGCACCTGTGCGCTGCACCGTGATACCTGGCCCGCTGCCGCCCACCTCTTCGCCACAAACGACGCCCGCTGCTTCGCCACAAGCGTCACCCACCCCTTCGACCAAACCCCCCCCCGTAGAAGCAGCCACCAAATTGGTGACAGCAGGTAGGGCATTGGCACCGTCCCTCGCCATACCCGAGTCTGTCCTTGCCTGCCGCAATCCTTCCTTCTCAAGATTTCCTCTGCGGTCAATGTTTTCGTTGATTTCTCAACTGCACAAATCCCCTTTGTGAAATGTTCCTTCAGGCGATTGAGATTGCCCGAAAATTTTAGATCGTAGTAATGGCAGACCCACCACTTTCCCCCCTTCGAAGGATCCTTGCCCGCGGGGCCAAGGATATCAAAATGGCGCTTGACAAGGCTGGCTTCATACTTGCGGCTCGACATGATGACCTGCACGCAGCAATAACAGACAAAATTAATACGAAGAAAGACAGACAAAAAAAGTGAGCCTGCACGCAGCAATAACATCAAAATGGCGGTCGACATGATGACCTGCACATGATGACCTGTACATCAAGCCCTAACGGCCCCTACGCACCAAGCCGTAAAGGCCACTCTAGATCAGCATGACCCCTGCACAAGGATGACAAACACAAATCGAGAAAAGGTCCAACAAAAAAAACAGGAGGAGGAGGAGGAGGAGGAGAAAGGAGGAGGAGGAGAAGGAGGAGGAGGAGGAGGAGAGAAGAAGGGAGGGGGAGGAGGAGGAGGAGGAGGAGGACCTGCCTATTTTGAGTTGC